ATTTTATTTAAATATTTTAAATATTAAAAAAAATAGATTATAACTAAATTTATGCTATTTTTAAGCTAAAATTGTTATACGAACTCTACAGCTTAAGAGATAAATATATAAAATATAATAATAATAATAATATTCTTTATATATTATAATAATATTATTTGATTGGCTATTTAAATATGGCATAAAAAATTTTGAATTTTGTATTTTTTTTAACTCAGCTAAATATAAAAACTTTTAAATTTTATTTGTATTGCCTTATTCATATTTGAGTTTTACTACAAATAACTGGTAGTGATCATCATCGCCCTAGATATTTTTAGAGTTAGGGTTCGGGTATTAAGAATTATTATTATTTTTTTTATATAATATAATATAGAGCTAATATAAGGTTTTGAATTTAGTTTTTATAAAGTTTTTAGGGATCCTGAACACTTTTACTTAGGATACCTGATCTTGTTTACTTAGTATGTTTTTGAGATATAAGCACCCGGTGATGGTCACTGCCGGTTATGGTTAGTAATATTCTTTATATTTTAATGTGTTATTTATTTTTATTTATTTATTTTTATATTTATTATTTTTTATTATTTTTAATTTTTTTTATTTATATAAAATTAAAAAATTTGCTATTTTAGCAGGATAAAATATATAGCAGTTTGCAAAAAGATAATTTCTACAAATTACAATGCTATGCAAAATTACAAAAAATTGACTAATTCTTTAACTCTTAGAGAATTTTAAAGATTTTAAATAAAGTATAAAAATTATTGATTAAAAACTATAATTAATAGGAATTAAAATTTTTCACCATAATCATTAAATCACAGAAATACACTATTTTGCAAACTTCCATAAGGTTATATTAGAATTATTATAAAAAATCCTGTTATTAAACTTAAGATTATATTAAGTTATATTAAAAATATCACAATTTACTAAAAATTCAATTAAAGAACTTGCTGGTTATTAGATACATATAGTGTATATTGGCATGTTTAATTTGAACTCCAGATATAAATATATTTAAATATAGTCAAATCTCCATAAATGCAATGTGTACAGACCAGCTTCAATTGTATATTTAGAGGGGTTTGTATTTAGAGAAAGCTAATCAAATTGCAGCTTTTAATATTTGATCTGCAGGCTTGTATAACACAATTGAATACTGAATTCTGATTGGCTACGTATATTTAGAGAGGTTAGTATGATATAAAAAATCTTTTGAGTGAACATGCATTTGCAGAATATAGAATGTGCATTTAGCACTAATGATTTCTTATAGACAGGCCAGAAATATGCATTTAGAGAGATATTGTATTTATGGAAGTTGCATTTATGGAGGTTTGACTATATATATTTTTTAATATACTATAGGCAAATGATATTTCCACACCTCTTTTTTGATATTTTCACACCTATGTAAATCACTTTTTTTAAAATATTTAATTGAAGGTATCTCAATAACCACCTAATCAAATTCAATGAATTTTTTTATTTGAATTCTATATGTATACAGAATTCAAATAAAAAAAATTCATCGAATTGGTCAGGTGGGTATTGAGATACTATCAATCAAAGTTAAAAAAATTTTGCCATGGCTATTATTCTAATAAACATTTAGACTTTTTACAAAAACTTTGATCAAAGGTATCTCAATGACCAGCTAACTAAATTCGATGAATTTTTTTTTTTTTGAATTCTGCATAATTGTAGAATTCTAACAAAAAATTTTTATCAAATTTGATCTGGTGGTCGTTGAGATATCTTTGATCAAAGATTTTAAAAAATCTAAACATCTATTAAAATAATAGCTATGGCAAAATTTTGATTGAATGTATCTCAATAATGACCTGATCAAATTTAATGAATTTTTTTTTATTTGAATTCTGCATACTTGTAGAATTCAAATAAAAAAATTTGTCAAATTTGATCAGGTTGTCATCGAGATACCTTTGATTAAAGATTTTAAAAAAAGTAATTTATATAGGTGTGAAAATATCAAAAAAGGGTATGGAAATCATTTGTCATACTATATTATATATGGTATTATAACAATAAAAATTTATAGTTTGCACATAACAATATTGTTTTTTATATTTATACTATGAAAGAAGAAAACAATTATCCTCAAAGTCTATTTATTAAACTTTTTGATAATTTTATTATAAAATTATTAAAGAAGGAACATATCTACTTTCTAATTAATATTATTATACAAAAAATTCTAAATATTGAATTCCTAATAATTATATAGTTAAAACACAATATAGTAAAGCAAAGCATTTTGTAAAATGTTCTATTCAATATATAAACAAAAAACCACTATTTACTATTCAGTTTGGAGCTAGTTTAAAAACACAAATACAGTCTTCTAAAAGTGCTTCTAATGTTGTATATCAATATTTTAAGATAATACTATATTTTATTTTAAAAATATTTATTATTAAATATTGTATATATTAATTTTTATTTCTAATTATTTAAAGAAATTAAATGAAATGAAAGTTCAAACTAATATAAAAAAATGTAATAAAAATAGATTGAAAAAATTTATAAAAATAATTCAAGAATATCTGGTTCTTTATTATTTGGCTTAATCTTAATAAGTGTTGAAAGTATATACAGTACTTTAATAGCTAAATATTGTTTTTTATTGCAGTATCAAATTTAGAATAGTTAAAGATATTCACTTTTTACATATAAAATATAAAAATGCTTATAACTCAGAAACAAGTAACTTAAAAAAAATCTACCTTACAAATTTGTTGCTTTTAGTCCAAACTATAATTCTGTTAAAATAGATTTTTATTTTTATTATAAAATTAAAAAGTTTTAGAGTTTAAAGTTCATATATAATCAAAAATTTGGCATTTAATATATAAAAAAAATGTTTATGTATTTTTAACCAATCAGAATTTATTACACAAAGTTAGCCAATCATATTTGATTATGTAATCCAAATTTAACACTTGTAAAAAAAATTAGATATCTTTGCTGTCCTATATTGTATAAATAATATTAATCAAAATATGGCTGTCGTTACTGATTATAAGTGAAATTCTTTATTATAAATTTTAAAAAATAATTTATACATTTTTCAGTTATTACAAAATTGTTATTTAATCTATACTATTAATTAAATAATTACTACACGTATTAATCACTACTACTTAACCTAAATCATATCTATAGCACATACTTAACAATTTAACCTTTAAATTAATACGCAAGGTAGAAATAAGACAAATAAAGTTAAAATTAAAACTTACGTTTAACTTAAATATTTTACATTTATAGTTACTGTAAATTTTTAAATCTTCATAATTTGAAATATCTCAATTACTTTATACAATAATACGTTCTTTATGTATCTTTTTATGCACGTGAGTTACATAAAATACGCAAATATGATTGGCTCCTAAAATAGTTGGCCAATTAAATTTTTTGTAACTTCACGTGCATAAAAATGATAAAATTGGCTTATTGTTTTCAATTTGAAATTTTTGAATTTGGCCGGCATTAATAAATTAAAATTCATAATTCGGGCCATATCATATGATTTGCATAATTGCCCAAATTTCTCTATCCCAAAAGTTCTTAATAAGAATTAATAGGCAACGTGACCAGCAATCAATCAAGCTGTTAACGTATCACTTCGTAAAAGCTTATTTCACAGACACCTTGTTTCACAGACAATCAGTTCATAGACAAGTTTATTTTAGAGACAATTGATTTACAAACAGTTCATTTATCGACAGCTTATTTTTATAGACAATCTTTGATAACAAATAACTTCCGAATCAGTGTTAAAGATTGTCTACAAAATGAACTGTTTATGAAATGAACTGTCTGTAAATTAATTGTCTTTAAATAAATTTGTCTATGAATTGATTGTTCTGTGAAATAACCTTCTACGAGGTGATACATACCTGACTATTTTCTATTTAAAAAAAAAAAAATTCGCCTTATCGCACTAATGTCTACGTTTGCAAGTGCTCCTCTTCCATCAATCGATGAAGTGAAAGAATTTGAAACGGAAAATCCAATCGATTTTATACGCGAGAAATTAAAGTTGAGGGGAAATTATTTGATAATTCTTCGTGACCAGGAATTAGAGGAAGTTCTTTTTTCTTTAACTCTGGAAATACTATCTAAAAAACAAGGTCCTTTTGAATTACCATATGGACCCGCACAAGATATTGTAAATTTTATTAATAAGCTCTGAGGTGAGGGGCAAGGTAAGTAGTGTCACGATTGCATTCAGATATTCTATGCTTTTTTTGCAATAATTCATTTTACGTTATCAACATTTCTCACATAGTTTTCAAGTTTCCCGAACTTCGTCTTCTTTCCCTGATGATGTTATTAATAAAATAAATACAATATATGAGCACATAATGGAAGAAAAAGTTGAAGTTGTTTCACTCTCTTCAATTAATACGAATATCAATCTTTTCAAAATTTTACTAGAATCACTGTAGAAACAAGACATCTTAGATTATGAAGCTATTATACAGCAGTATGAAGATGAAAAACAACGAATGATTCGGACTTTTGACAATAAAAAAGCTGATTTGTATGACGAAGTAAAAAAAAAAAAGACCAACTCTCCGAACATTCGAATAAATGGAATGAACAAAAGGAAATAATCAACATTAGTGATAGTAAAAACAACTTTATAATGGTGTGTCTAACGCTGACCCAATGACAGATTTTTATGAAGAAATGGACGAAGATGAAAGGCATGAAGTACGTAAGGCTGTTACATTAATTAAAAATACACCAATATTTTCGAGCATGTACGCTAATCTATAATCAAAAAAATCATCATGTATTGTGGGCGTATCCCGGTTTTTGTAATTATTTTTTGCGTATTTCAATAAAAGCATTACTTATTAATTAGTACAACAAGAGAACATCATTTATATTGCAATGCATGTTATATGAATTAAAAAATTAAAATATTAGCATTCTGTGTGACAAAAATTAAAAACAATGTTTTTATACGTACGCTCTCGCTCTTTGTAAAATTTCTAATTAAAGTCTATTATTGTAATACATGTACACATATTGTACGCGTCTTTTGACTATATACAATCCGTTTTTATTCAGCTTTTTCTTATTTTCGTAAGTCAAAAATATGTCTTCCCTAAAAGACATTCGTGTAGTATGCTCGATAGGTCTGAAACTTTTTAAATAATAGATTTATTTGAAAACAAAAAATAATATTAATAATGGTCTCTCTAACTTTTTTTAGATTTTGGTACAACATATTCGGTAAGAACTTTAAGAAAGTTCTATATAGAATTTTGTACTGTACTATATAATTCATATAATGTAACTTCTCTTTGATAGGGTTTTGCATACTCACATATAGCAAATCCTAAAATTATAACAAATGAAACTTGGCCTGAACAAACAGGTCCACTAAAAACTAACACCGTTCTACAGTATGATGATAATTTTCAAAATGTTAAATCATGGGGTTTTCCTGCTTTGGCTCAACGATATAATCGTCGAAAGAACAAAAATTCAAGACCTGTTGAATTATTTAAATTGCATTTGATAGACATGCCGGAAGATCAAAAGACTCTTTTACCAGAAGGATTAAATTATATGAAAGCAATCACTGATTATCTTTGTAAATTAGGTATATAATTATTAAAAAAAGAGTTAAACATAATGATTTTTTGAATTTATTTAATTTTTATGATTAATAATAATAGGTGAAGTAAGTACTGTGATAAAGGTGCTAAAATACAGTATACGTAATTATTTCGTTCGATATATTAAAAAACAAATCTTCTGATGAATTTCTCGTATAGCTGGTTAAAACGACAATTGATACTCGTTGGCCTCAGGTTGAGTTCTATAAACATGTGTTAATTATTCTTACTGTTCCTGTGGAGTTCTCTGAGAAGAAAAAGGGCATAATGAAGCAGTGTGCTCATAATGCTGAGTTAATCAAATCGGTCACATCCCCCAATCTAAAGATTATAACTGAACGTATGTATTTTAATGGTATTATTTTTAATTTTTTTTTTTTTGATTTAATATAATCACAATATTAATATTTGTTGGTTTTTCTTTTATAGCTGAAGCTGCTGCAATTTATTGTATGAGATCTTTAAATGAATTCTCTATGACAAAAGTTGGGAGTAAGTAGCCGAGCAGATAAATATCGACAACACTTTTATATCATTTATAAATGTCGACTAAAGTTAATACTTTTAAATTTGACAAAATTTTCAGCTTCTTTTCTAATAGTAGACATAGGTGGTGGTACAGTAGACCTAACAATTAGAAAATTATTACCAGGTAATCAATTAGGCGAAATAACCGAACAAACTGGTGATAGTTGTGGTGGGAGTTTTGTCGATAAAGAGTTTATCAGTTTTCTTAATCGAAAAGTTGGTAAAACTGCTATGAATTTAGTTAAAGATGATCATTATGGTTTATTACAATACATGGTTCAAGAATTTTGTCGAGTTGCTAAATTACCATTTACTGGTGAACAGAAAGACTTTAAAACATTTGAACTGGATCTTGAAGAATTGTGTCCAGTTTTAAAAGAATATGTTGATGATACTACTGAAAAACAAATGGAAAAATTGGAATGGGTGATTGATATTGAATTTGAAGATGTTAAGGGAATGTTTGATCCCGTAATTGGCAGGATCATTCGTTTGATACGTGGTCAATTGGATGCATGTAAGGATTGTACTGCAATGTTTTTGGTAGGTGGATTTAGTGAATCTAAATATCTGCGAAAAAGGATTAAAGAAGAATTTGGCAAAAAAGTACCTATTATTTCAAGTCCCGATAAGCCTATTGCTGCTATTGTTCGGGGAGCTTTGCTTTATGGTCTCGATACAGCTGTAGTAAAATCTCGTGTATTGAGGTATACCTATGGTATTAGATCCTTACCTAATTGGCGACCTGGTGACCCGGTGGACCGAAGAACTCCTGATGGAAAGATCTTTAAATTTCATACCTTAGTACAGCGTGGAAAGAAAGTAGAGGTTAATCAACAAGTTTCTGATATTTTTCGTGTTGCATATGCAGATCAGGTAGATATATGTATGGATATATATGTTACACGTGCGTATGAGGTAAAATATTGCGATGAACCTGGTGTTGAATTACTTGGAAAGTTTACAATTAATATGCCAGATAAACATCTTGGACTTAATCGATCAGTTGTCTACACGCTTTCATTTGGAGAGACAGAAATTAGGGCCACTGCAAAGAACAAAGCTGGAAGAGAATATCATACCACTTTCGAATTAATTTTCGAATAGAATTTACATATTTAAATCATTGGAAATTTTATTTTCTATACTTAATAACAATTATGAAAATACAGTATATATAGACATTTGATATATTGTTTAATAATTTTAATCATTTATTATAATTAACACTTTTTTAACACTATTTAACGCATTTTAACGCCTTAGCATTATATTATTATTAAAACTTTCAAAAGCTTTTTAAATTCATGTTATTCAGCATACAAAATACAATAGAATAATATAAACTTATATTACTATATAAATATTATATTATATTATATTATATATTTTACTTTTTTATGTGGCCTCTTTGTTAGGAGGTTTTAATAAAGTTTAATAAAGTTTTAAATAGCGATAAAATTATCAAAAATATGGAGGCTGGTATTTATACCTCACACATTTGGTATTTGTACCCCAGTAAAAATAAAATTTTTAAAAATTTGGTTGAAGATATCTCGATAACTGCCTGACCAATTCAATGAAACTTTTTTTATTTAAGTTCTATGGATTCATAGAATTCAAATAAAAAAGGTTTGATAAGGCAGTTGTCGAGACATCTTCCTCAAAGTTTAAGGGAAATCAAAACGCCTATCAAAAGAAGCTGCGCCCAATTTTTTTTTGAACGAAGATATCTCGACAACCACATGGCCAAATTTGATGAATTTTTTTATTTGAATTATATAAATTCATAGAATTCAAATTTGGTTAAGTAGTTGTAGAGATATCTTCTCAAAGTTTAAAAAAAAAATTGAGCGCAGCTTCTCTTTGATAGGCATTTTGACTTTGACCGAATTATCTCGACAACCACCTGAACAAATTTGATGAAACCTTTTTTATCTGAATTCATGAATGTGTAGAATTCAAATAAAGAAGGTTCATTGAAATTGGCCGGGTGGTTATCGAGAAATCTTTGCTCAAAATTTTTTAAAAAATTGAGCGCAACTTCTGTTTTAATACCTCGACAACCGCCTGACCAAATTCGATAAACTTTTTTTTATTTGAATTCGTTGAATACATAAAAATGCTTCATCGAATTTGGTCAGACATTTGGCGAGATACCTTCGCCCAAAGTTTTAAAAAAATTGTGTGTACCTTCTTTTTTGATAGGCATTTTGATTTTCCTACAACTTTGAGTGAAGATATCTTGACAACTGCCTAACCAAATTTGATAAACCTTTTTTTATTTGAATTCTATGAATTTAAAAAATTAAAATAAAAAAGTTTCATTGAATTTGGTTATATGATTATTGTGATATCTTCAAAGTTTTAAAAGCTTTATTTTATGAGGAGGTATGAATACCAAATGTGGGGGTATTAATACAGGTGTTATGAATTGAAAAATAGTATTTGATGAATTGTACATATTTTCTTTAGAATATTGCTAACTTTTACCCTAGGTGATATCACCTAGTTGTATAAAAACCAATTAGATCACTAGATCTTGTGTAACCAAAACAAAGCAAAAAAAAGAAAAAATTTAAAAAAATTTTAATAACTTTAAATTTTATTATGAAAACTATATTTCAACTTCTAAGCAAAAGTTTTCAGCTTTGAATTTTACATATATAAATTCTTTTACTTAAACTCTAACCTAATGCCTAACCCTAATCTTAACTATATGTAAATTTATTTTAATAAAAATTTTATAATACTGGGTGATTGGCTGTTAATCTAGTGGTGTCGCATAGATCCACATGCTTGGTATATGTGGTGAGGTTATATCTGGGTCATAAGTCCCACATGGTGAAAATAAGGATATAATCAGAGGGTTTAAATAGGTACCCCACGTAGTGGGGGTGCAGGTATGGCAGATAGTGTAGAATCCTTAGCATAGCACTATCACTTTGGGCGAACTACTTAAATTAGGCACCAAAAGTGTATATGTGGCTATATGTATTCTCATTGTATACCGAAATAATACTTAATGATAATAAATCGCCATTGATAAAGAGGTCACTTTAACATTAAAAAATAATAATAATAATAATACTGAGTGATATCACCATGAGTAAAAATTAGTTAAAATCTTTATTTTATTCTATTTTATTTTAGTTTATTTGTTATTTTATTTCTATATATTGTCACATGCCAATTCTATTTTGATAACAATATCCAATATAGTATAGGCCTTATTTAATGTGAAATATATTAGTTATATTAATTAGACAACTGTAGAGGGCTTGGAAGGCATAGTAAATCTAATTTATACGTCAATACTAAATTTAACAAATACTAAATTCTTAATATTGATGTCAAAACATTAATATAGACATCAAAGTAATCATGCTAATATTAAATTATTAGTGTAAATGCTAAAGAAAATCGAAATATATAAAAACACTAAGAAAATATTAAAGGAATTTAAGTTCCATGTTCTTTGTTATAATATAATAAAAGAAGTAATAAAGTAAATACTTATTCATTGTAATTTTGACCTGAACCTTAATAAACCCTTTGAGACTTAATTTGACAAACTGAATTGACTTGTAACTTCAATCAGCATATTAAAACTCAAAATTTAGTATAACTGTCTTTTTATATTTAGGAACTTGGTCATATAATTCTATTTAAAAAGAACTTTCAGTCAAGAAAAGTATTAGTTTGATACATGAAAAGTAAGAAGCCTGGCCACTATTGGCATCACTAATATCAGCTGATTTTTAGAAATATCTAAATTGGATTATACTCTATTTTTTAAAGTATTAATATTCCTTTACCAACATTATTATCAATTAATCATCACCCTAAGAATCAATATTTGTTAATACTATCTTTAAATCACTATATTCATAGGATTGATTTATTTTAAGTCTTGATATCATTTCCAAATTATTTTAATTCATTATTATTTTTAAGATTGATTTATTTTAATTCTCATATTTAATTCAAACCACTTGTTCTCGAACAACATTATTAATCAACCAATAGCTTTTGTTGATACACTAATTAACATATATATTTTTAGTTATTATCATTATTTAAATCATATTAAGTTTATCTTCATCCTAAAGATTGATTATTTTAAGATAAATATATCTTTTTTTTTATTTATAAAGGCCCCAATCCCATATATAGTTGAAGTTCAAATTGGCACTATTAGTTTATAATTCTCTTGTTCTTCTATTATAACTGTTACACTAGATCTGTATTGTTTCACTAACAATTACTTCATAGACACCACATTTCACAGACAATTATTTATTAACAAGTTCATTTTACTAACAGTCTGACAAGTTTATTTTTATAAATTATATTAACTTTAACTCTAGTTTTAACCTAACTCTAATGATATTTACCAGAATTACTTTGTCTGTAGTGAAATAAAAATAAACTTATTAGTAAGTGAAGTGTAGTGTCTATGAAATAATTGTTGGTGAGTTGATGGGATCCTTAATACTAGTCTTCAAAAATATAAATTTACAATTTTTTTTTAATAATGTTAAAGTGAAGCCTAAATTCACAACTTTTATAATATAACAACTATAATTTTGTTTTTATTATTTATAAATTTTATTTATCTTTTTATCTTAGATTTAAATTTGTTAAATTTATTAAATAATTTTATAATTTGATTAAAATTTCATTATTCTATTTCAAAATCTTTTCTTAGGATCATAATATAGGCTGCTGTTAATTGAAATAAATCAGATTGATATTTTTAAAAAAAATTCATATCTCAACTTTCACAGCTCATACCTTGATGAATTTTGAAGCTATCTTGATAATTCAATATTCAAAAAAAAGCTTAGAACTTAATCTTTCTTTAAATATTAAATTATCAAACTAGCTTTGAAATATTAGCTATAAAAGTTGAGATATAAATTTTTTTTAAAATATCAATTTGTCTGATTTCTATTGATAGCAGCCTATATGTTCTCATGCTTGGATTAATACTAATAATTCTTTTGCTAAAAGATGCTTGGTTTTCATATTCTTCTAATAAAATGATTAAGTAAATATAATATTTATTACACCTAAGTAGGGTCAAAAGAAGGGTCCTGGGACAGAATTCCGTAAATGTATCCAGAATAGGTTCCTTACCCCTTTACAAACCTTTCTAGATATATTTAATCATATATCGAATTCAAGC